AAGCTTTCCCAGGTGTAAGCTTGGGAGCCAGGCCCACGTGTGCCCTCGTGCCCAGGGCAGATGCTTGGCTCAGTGCCAGGGATCCTTGGCTCTGTGACCATGATGTGTCTAGGACAGACAAAAGTGAGAATGGGAGTGAAGAAGGAAGAAAGGCAGGACCAGGAGTAAAATTTCTACTTTGATTCCTTGAGCCCTGGACTAGGAGCCTTTGGCAAGACCAGCACTAGGACCAGCTCACACCAGGAAAATGCTGCCCTTCCCTTTGCCAGTTCTTGGACTCACTCGTGAAACGAATTGCCCTAATAGCCCACAGTATCATGCACATTACACTTTCAGACTGCTTTCTTATGTATCAGGTTTGATGCCCATAACATCACCATCATGGAAATAAAGCAGATGGTATTTTAATCCATTTTATGGATGAGGAAACTGAGGCTGGATTTGAGTATCTATCTATTGAAGGCCTCACAAGGTATGTGAGGTTATATAAAAATAAATGAGCAAAATAACTTATTAAGAACCCAGGCTCCTAGACTCCTACTCTCATAACACCCCCCCTCCCCCGCTGTGACACTGCTTCACACAGGAAGAGACACGACTAGGGGAAGAAGTTTCCACCTACGGGATAGCTGCTCAACAAAGGGGTGAAGGAAGGAGAGTGGAGTAATTGTGCATTGGAGCAAATTGTCACCTGGCATGTGGGCCTCTGACAGAGGAGCACGATGTGTGTGCATGTGGACACACAGCCCAGTCTCCAGGTGTGTGCACACGCTGCTTGTTTCAAAGGCTGAGTTAAGAAAGGGTATATGCATGAGATTGAGATAGTTCATAGTTTTATACATTAGCATATACACCGATGGCAAATGCATGTACAGGAAGAAAAAAAGAAGAGAAGGATGTGTTTATGTGGAGATGTGAGCAGGGTCTGCATGTATTTTTCTGCTAAGGAAAACATTATACAGACAGGTTCACAACGTGTCTGTGAGCACAAGCCTGGTGTCCTGGGTGTGCAATGTGTCCCGGTGTATAGGCATGGGTGAGTAAGTGTGTAGAGAAAACTAGCACCAACTGGAGAGAGCATTTCCTGGAGCTGAGTCAAGGGCTTCTCTGTTCTCCTTTCCAAGGCATTCTTAGAGGGTCTTCCTGCCCGAGGCAAAAAGGTGAGCATTCCTGAGCCCCCGGCTGCCCCATGAAGCTTGTGCTACCTCACCCCACCTCAGGCCCCCCTGCTCTCCCCTCTCAATCCCACAGAGGGCCTGAGCAGATCAGTTATAGCTAATAACATTTAAATTATGACCTGAAGGTGCTGAGGAGGCCCTGGGAGAGAAGAAGGAAAAGGTGGCATGGATTTCAAAGGAGGGACTTGGAGTCAGCAGATGTTATCACTTGGTGCCTGAAGTATCCAGTCTCAGAGTCAGACCCGGAGCCCCCTGATTTGTGTGGAAGGCATGGCTGGGCCAGAAGCTTAAAGGCCACGGGTGACACTAGGAACTGCCCACTTCCACGCCCAGGGGGCAGCAAAGACCGGCAGCCCATCATATCCTGGAGCAGACATGCTATCCTCTACCGTCTCTACCCAGCTCACCTTTTTGTGCCCCAACCAGAGAATGGGAGGGGAGGGGCCTCCTCTGTGTGGGGCCTCCTCTGATATCTGTAAAGAGTTCAAAGGAGCTGAGAGCCCTTGCGAGATCACATGGGGGGGGCAGCTACCCAGGAAGCCCCCGGTGGTACCACAGAGAAGCCCACTTCCCCTCCATCGCGGGGTGTTTGGGCTGTGCTGAGCCGTCCCCCACAGAACCGGGATTTATAAGGCTGTAACCTCTGCCAGAGCAGGCAACCTCAGCTTCATTCACCATGAATGGGGAGGGGGGGAATAAATTCTAAATCCCAGGAGCAGCTACTGCAGCCCTGGTCCCAGCAGTCAGCTGCAGGGAGAAGCAGAGTGATGCAGGAGGAGGAGGTCCTGAGCTCCGGGGATGACCAAGAGCACAGCTTAGACCAGCAGCTGGAGTTTTCCTCGCCAGGGCTCAGGTCCAGCCCCTTTGAGGGCTGCCACACCTGGAGATTCTTCCTCCCTTTTCCCCTCAGTAAAGGACACACCTGTGTGGCACCATGACAAAGATTCAGGGCACATCAGAGCTGGAAGGAACCTCAGCTCTGCTTTAGTGTCCCAGCCCTTTGTCACTTCACAAACAAGACAAAAGATACCCCGAAGGAAAGAAGAGACTTGGCCAAAGTCACCGAGCTCATTGGCAGCCACACCAAGATTATCATTTAGGATTTTTGCAAATGGATATTTCTATAGTTTGGTGGAATTTAGAAATTTTTCAGAAAGTTAGACAGTCTGAGCTAAGCAGCCAGCTTCCCCTCATCCACACTGGTAGAACACTGTGATTACAATTCAGCTACATAGCTCTGCTGCGAAATGCAGTGGTATATCCCCCAGTGGAGGCCACACAGCTGCCTGCCACTCTTAAAACAGGGACTCTAAGCCCAAGGTCAGTGCACCGGCTTCCTGGGCTCATGAGCCCTTCAAATTGTAGGCAGATTTTTGAGTGTCTGTGCTCTAGATATTTTTCTGGAGAGAAGTTCACAGCTTTAATCAATTTATAAAGAGATGCATGATATGGAAAAGGTGGAGAATCATAGTCTTAAAGCATCAGGAATCCAGGCTCCAGAGAAATCAGATCTTAGCAATCAGTTGCTAGGTGCCTTAGCAGCATTCACAGACATAAAAGGGTTGGATTATGCTTCCCTAGATATATGACTATATATTTTGCAGTACAAAAGAGCTTCTAAGCTCTAGAATATAAGTTCCTCAAGGGTAAGGTTATTATCTATTTGTTCACCTATCTGAGATATCAGCCTGGGTCAGGGCCTGGAGCAAATACAAATTTGATTAATTTATTAATCTATACAGTACTTCTCTTCCCATATCCAATGCTGCTTTGTCTCCAATGATGATAAGAATTATAACAGGGAAGCCTGAGGTAAGAAGTGCAAGAATTATTTTATAATTCAATGTTGAGTTTCTGGACCTTTTTCATCCACTGTTAAAGGCTGATCACCTTGGGGAAGTCGAGGCAGTCGACCCAAAGCCCAAATTTAGATCTCCTGATGCAGTTTGTGTTGCGTTCCACAACTGCCCCAGACCCTTCCGGGAAGCTTACTCCTCCAGTCAGAAGGGGAGAGCTCCAGCAAGCAGGGGCTTGTCTAGACCCTGGACCTCAGGAGTCTGAGTTCTCCATTGTAAAAAGGACAAGAATTCTAAATCTGGCAAGGATCAGGGTAGACCCTGGCCTCAGGACACAGGCTCCAATTCCTCAGCCTCTTGATCTTCTGTTTGATCGTCATTCCTTGTCCCACTTTGCAGCTTCTACAGCTCAGCTGCTAAGCCCACTGGGGATTAAGAAGTTGGGGGGAGGGAAGGGGAGAGAGCTCACCCTGGAGAGGGTGGCTTTCTGAGGAGGGAAGAGAGGATGGGGTTCTCAGGGCCCCGCTGGGCCAGCTTTCCCCCCCTTCCTCAGGCTCACCCCCGTAGGCTGGACCCTCCTTTGGAGAGACGTGCTCTGAGAGGTGCTTATGCAGCTGTTGCCTCTGTCTCGTCCTAAAAATAGCCTCCTCTCAGCCCGTGCCCGCTCAGGGCTGGGCCAGAGCTGCGCTGAGGGTTCACCGGCAGGCGGGACCAGAATGTGGGGTGGGACACAAGTGCCCCCACAATGGGGAGACAGGAGGAGGGAGGGTACCACCTCAGGACCTGCCTCTTGACTCTGGGCTTCTCTGGTGCCCCAGAAAGTCCCCTAGAGAAGGGACAGGCTTTCTCATCCCTGTGTTTTTGAGGGGACAGTGAGGCACAGAAAGGCTAAGCCAGCTAACCGGGGTCATGTACTAATACCTAACGTTTAGGAAGACCATACCACATGCCTGTTTCCACTGTTTTAAGCACCATTGACATAAATGGTGACATACCTCCCTATGATGTAGGTATTGTTAGTATTGTTCCCTTTGACAATCAAAGAAATGAAGGCCCAGAGACATGAACTCCCCAAACTCAGAGTCAGAAAGTGGGGGCAGGATTCCACCTCAGGCAGCCCCCCACACCCCCAGCCACAGCCAAGGCCGAGGACCCAGCCCACCCAGGACACAAAAGGCTGAGGAAGAGGAAACGAAGTCCCAGAGTTGCCCCAGAGGAGGGCACCCCAAGTGAGATGGGCATGGTTGCCTAATATCCACCTTCTAAAGAGTTCATTATATATAATCACAGACACATGGCATTCCTGGGTCCACCACCCAGCAGCCACTTGGTCAGATTGGCTTTGAATTTTTAGGTAAATCCTCTCTAGCTGTCCCATTCACCTCGCATGCTGCCACTTTCCCCATTTTCTGAAAAGGCTCAGGGACATGGTGCCCAGCTAAGTCCTGGGGAGTAGGGGCCCCAGAGACTCAGTCAGTGGATCATGCTTCTGGGCACAGGCAGGTGGGGGACAGCTAGGGACCTTTTGAGCCTGTGTGATGTAAATGCTTAGAATCGAGCAGATTTGGGCTTTACAGACAGGGTGGACAGAGGATGGAGGGAAGGAGGTAAAGGGGAAAAGAAAGAAAAAGGAAAAGAGGAAAGGAGGGAGAAAGAAGAGGTGGGAGAGGGGGGAGAGAAAGAAAGTGAGCAAAAAGTGGGTTCTCAAGACTGGCTGGCCACCCTCTCTAGACTAGAGGAGGCTAAGAGGGGAAGGCCTAGGCCTGCGGAACATGCATGCAGGCAGGGGCATTGGAGAGAAAGCCCTGGTGTCAGCAAGAGGGTGAGGAAGGAGGGGACCACGGTGGCCTCAGGATCGCTGGATGCTGTAAACACTGCTTCAGTCCTGTCTCCTCTCCAGTTCCTCTGTTGGACTTGCCTGTTTAAGGCCCAAGCACACATCATGCTCCCGCAGACACTAACACAATTAACAAAACACATTCATAAATCTTGCATGGCATCCGGAGCTGTCTCCTCTCTCCCCAGCACGGGGGCCAGCTCCGGAGATCCTGTGCAGAGAGCTGTCTGGCCCTCCAGGATCAGAGCCTCCTGAAGAAAGCAGTGTAAACCTTAGTAGGACAGCAAGACCACCTCGTCCTGCAGGAGCCCCATTATAGGCGGGGACCAGGAAATACTAAGTCAGAAGAAGCTAGGAGAGGAGGTGGCTGTGAATATGTGTTTGCAGGGGACTGGGGGAGTGGATCATGCCTTCCAAGCTCCAAATGAGAGCATTCCCCAGAGGCCCACAGAATCACCTGTTTGGGGGATATTTGACCTCTGAGGACAAAGCAGGAGAGTGTATGACACCGAGGACATCTGCATGAAGGTATGTGCATGACTTGGTAGTGTGATTGGGTGTTTATGTTTTGTGGGGGGTGTGTGTGTGTGTGCACTCAGTCTGGAAGACTGGTGACTCACTAAAAAAGGGAGCTTTCTGATCTGAAGAGCTTATTTTCAGCTATTTTTATCTCCTCTTGTCTCTTGGCCCTTTTCTCCCCCTTGTCTTTTTCAAATGTGGAGGAATTTGGGGGCTATGAATGCTGTGTGTGCCCATGTGAATTTCAGCTTGAGCCAAGAGGTGGGAACCACCCCCTCTGGAAGTGCAGAGATGAATGCCTAGGTGGGATCTGCAGGTGCACAGTGGGGACACACTGTGACACAGAACATCTTATTCTGGTATGTCCATGTACAGGCATATAAGCAAGTGTGCGTGAAGCCAGAAAGGTCCCTGGACGTTTCCACACCGCCAACTTGAACCTGTGGCCATGGGCACAATCCTGGGACCCTGTCTTGGAGACTGGCCCTGACCCCTGCATTTTCTCTCTCTGCCCAGCCACCCTCACCTCTAAAATGTTGACATCTTATCAGGAAGGCCTTTCTCTGCTCTGTCAACAGGGAGTAAGAAATGAGCTGCTAACTGGGCTTCTGTTATGACTCATTCCAGCCCATCCTGAGGCTCACCTACCACCTTTGGCCCTGAGACACTGCTTCCCAATCCAGCAGTGGTCCAGCCATCTGGGGCCAGCTTGTGCCTGGGTTGGCAGGGCAGGGCTGAGAGATATATTCCTCCTTGTGTGAGCTCACTCTTCCAGCCCATAAAGAGGAAGATGAGCGGGAGCTCTCTGAGTGCCCTGCCCCAGAAACCCTGCCTGCAAAGAGAGGTCACTGTGGCTCCCAGGGAAAGCATTCCAACGTGTCCTTCTCTCCCTCCAGTCCATAAAGGGAGCAGGGCAGAGAGCAGACTGCATTCTTGAGGGTTCTAGAATGCCCTCAGGTCCCTTGATGTTGAGTCTATGGTGAGATGACCATGTACATGCACACATGCTTCTGTGACAGTACAGGAATTCACGTGTTGACAGCAATCCACACAGCCTGTGGCAGATGCTCTCGGTGTCACTCCACACACGTATGGGCCCCCACTGCCAACCTTCCCACATGGGCTTGCACATCGGCACCAGTCACCATGGGCACACATGTGCACGCTCACTCCTACTGGACCCCATGAGAGCTAATGGGAGGATTCCATCATGATAGACAGCCTGAGGTCCACCACTTCCTTAAGTCTGCGGTGTATGCATGGCTGAAAGGCCCCCAGCCAAGGGGGCCAAAATCCAGCCATTTGTGGCTCCTTGAGCCATGTACTCTTCTGAAGGACCACACCAACCGAGAGGAGGAGCACTTTGGCTAGTTTGTCTGCCCAAAGGCACTGTAGCTCCTGGTGTCCAGTGAGCACTGGGTATCAGCTCTCGGAGGAACTGGCTATCTATTCGCCCACCCACTCATCCCATTCCACAAGCATTTGGGGTGCGTGTGCTCATGCAGGTCATCATCGCAAAGGAGGACAAACCAGAGTCCCCAGACATTCACGGTCTGGCAGGGAAGACAGACATCTGTACAATTAGCCTGACAGATTGTGCCACCAAGGCTGTGTCTGCATGAACTGCAGGGAGTCATTACTTCTTCCTGCTGGGACCTGGGGGCCTTCCCAGAGAAGAGGGCAGGACTTTTGCCTCTGCCTTGAGTGGTGAGTAGACTTCACCAGGGTGAAGAGGAGTTTATGTAGGGGAGGCAGAGTGCAGACGGTGACTAGGGAAGGGCGTGGTGAGCGGCAGAACAGCAGGCTAGACAGGGCACATGAAGGAGAAATCAGATCCTGCCAGCAGGTAGCCTGGGTTCAAATCCTGCCTTTGCTAGTCTGTGGCCCTGGCCTCAAGAAGAGATTTTGAATTCTCTCTCTCTCTCTTCTTACCCCACTAGAAGGAAAAAGTCTTTGCCATTCTTGAAAGATCTGGATGTCTTCCAAATGGGCGCCTTCTAGGCACCCATACAATGGGCATACTAACAGGGCCTATCTTCCAGCAATGTTCTAAACTTAAATGAGAGAATCCAAGGGAAGCTGTTAGCACAGAACTAAGTAGTTTTGTACTAAGTTATTAGCCTCTTTTGTGGCTGAAACAGTGGCTCTCAACGGGGGCAATTTGCCCCCCAGAGAACATTGATCAATATCTGGAGACATCTTTGTTGTGAAAACCTGGGAGGCAGGGTGGGGTGCCACTGGCATGCAGTTGAGAGAGCCCGGGATGCCGCTAAGCATCCTGCAGCGCCCACCCGAGAAGGCCCCACAACAACACAGTATGCAATCCCAAACGTAAATAGTGCAGAGACTAAGGAGTTTGCCTCTCTCCTGAAGACAATGAGGTGATACTGCTTTCTAAGCAGAGATGATGTAATGAAATCTAAGTTCCAGGAGGAAAATCCCATCAAAGTGTGACACACTGAGGAGGTCAGTCAGGACCCTATGGGTCTGCAGAAGGGGCTTGAGCGGCAGCGTGACCGGCGAGGGAGCACCAGGGCACAAACTTGAGGGGCATGGGAGGGAGGTGAGGATTAGGAGAGGTGGCTGGGTGGGGAAGGAGGAACAGGCATGGGTCTGGTCGTGGGGCGTGGGGTGCTCTGAAGCTTGTGGGACTGAGCCAATGCTGAGCCAATGGTGATGCCGCCTTTCACTACAGCCTCTGAGGAGGAGGCTGTTTGGCCCTCCAGAATGAAAACACCTCCATCAATCGATGTCAGCCATGTGCCCTCCATGCCATCTGTTCCCACTCCTCCCTCCCCACCCCCACGTGCCAAGGACCGCTCTTCAAGAGGCCACTCACTACACCTCTCAGGGCCCAGGAGAGGTGGGCATCCTGCTGTGCCACTTCTCCCTCCTTTTCCTTACAGTCCCCTTTGAATGGATGGAGATGGAGACCCTCAAAGAAGGAAGGACTCCCCATGGCCCTAAGCTGACAAACCACAGAACGAGGATGACCACTCTGGGCTCCTGATGTCCAGCACCTGTCCATCTTTCAAGACCCTGCAGCTCCTTCGGCCTGCTGTGGGCACAGGGAAGGGACTCAGCTCAGAGACTGAGTCTCCTTACCACCCCAAGTCCCCGTGTCCCCTCAAATGAGCCCTGAAGACAAGTGAAAGGAACTGGGGAGAAACCCCAAGCAGTCAATACATCAGCAGGTGAGCACGTGACGTGTCCTGACTTGTGCTCAGGGCTGAGAAAGACAGTAGAGCCATTTAAGATGTCATTCCTACCTTCACAAATAGTACAAATCTAATTGGGAGGGCAAGACGAAGAGGCAGAGGACAACCAAAGGACAATTAAAAGGCCTTGGTAGAACATAAGGAGCACTGGATAAGGACTAGCCCAGAGTTACGTCCCAGTGCCTTGGGACCTGAAGTAGGTCCCTTACACCTCAAAAAGCTCCAGCTACCTGATCCATATAGATTACTTCTAGTTGTCTGGCTTAGGGATGGTGGGTTAGTCCTGATCGCCCGAAGCACTGTGTTGAGAAGGACTCTGAGGCAGCATTCAGGCTTAGAAGTGCTGTGGTTAATTAGTGCTGCCTGGGGTGAGTGCTAACAGAATGATGGCTGCTTATTAACTACTCCTGAGTAAGAGCAACTGACCGGGATCACTTGTAAGGACTCTTCCAGCTCTCAAATTCTCTAATTCTGTGATTTAAATGGTACATTTCAAGGTACTGGCTGGAAGCACAATAAGTCATGGGAGGAAGAGCTCTGTGTGGGTTAGAATCATCAGAGAAGGCTTTGGGAAGGAGGCGGCACTTTAGCTAGGCCTTGAAGTGGGGGAGTGTGAGTAGCTGTACAGGAGGTGGGAGGACATTTAGATGCATGTAAATGGGGCTGAGCATGGGCTGTTCTTGGTACAGGAAGGAGGAGGCCAGCATCACTGGAAGGCACTGTCTTTGTTTGGGCAGATAAGATTAGATATGCAAGGCTTGGTCATAACCGAAAAACAAGAACTAACATTTATTGAGAGCTTACTATGTGGGAAGCCACAGAACAAAGATGACTTTCCACAAAATATTTCATTCAATCATCACAACACGCCCACAAGGTAAGTCCTATTATTAGCCTTCTTTTCTAGAAATGGAAACACAATTAGAGACATGAAGTGACTTGCTCAGGGTCACACAGCTAGTTGGAGGTAGAATCAGGTTTTCAGCCCAGGTAATGTGGTTCTGAAGTTTGCAGGTGTAACCTCTCAGTTCTGGTTTCTTCCCTCCTCTTAAAAGTGGGGCAGTGAGGCAACCCAACAGTGCAGCTGAAACCTCACAGCTGAATCTCTGAGGTCCAGAGAGAGGGCAGAAACAGCTGCATCTTGAAGAAGGAAGACCTAGGACATCAATCACATGAACATACCCAAGCCAAGAACGTGGCAGCATGGACACAGATCACAGTAAGCACGAAGCACCATGGATCCGGGCTCCTGGACACTTTCCCCAAGCCCTAAATAGTCTACTGGATGATGTCCCAGCACTGCAGATAAGGCAGCAGGGCATGATATTCCAGGGATTTGGGGCTCAGCATGTGAAGGTAGAAATAGATCCAACCCTGCTCATACCACAAGCTCAGAAGCAGAAGGTGGCAGCCTTGAATGAAGATCTCATTTCAGAGTTCTTAGCTTAGCGCTGCCTTGGCCCAGGGCTGCAGCCTCTGGCCACCTCAGCACAGTCCCTCCCTGGCACCTGGTGGTGTGTAGGGGAACTTCTGTCCCTTCTCCCTCTTTTCCTATCCCTCTCTTGTCCCTTCCTTCCTTTCTGGGTTCAAGGGCAAGCCCAGCCTCTCCCCAGCTCTTAGTTCAGTGGGACCCAGGGAGATACTGCTGTGCATCTCCCTGCCTCTAAGCCCCTGAGCGGAGGGAGAGACTCATGTCTTCTCATTCTTTCTTCACCACTAATACCGCTTGTCCCCGGCCACCCAACAGCCCTGGACCGTGCAGACATGACTCAGAAATCAGGGGGAACAGTAAGAAACCAGCCTGGGAATCCCCCAGCCTTTCTCACAATCTCCCTCTCTGCACCCCAACCCTGGCTCTCTGTCTCAGCTGATTAAACTCACTCTCAGAACCCCCTGGAGGCCCTTCCTTCTAGCTTCTCCATCTGGCTTCAGGGAGGCCTCTGGCCCCCACTGCACTGAGGAAGAGACAGAGCCATAACAATGGACTGGAGGCTCCCACAGACCACCTGCTAAACTCTCACTCTTGTTGTCCAGAATATGCTCATTGGCTAAAGACCTGATTTTGTAACTCTCTTTCTAGAACTTTCCTCCTTTCCAGACCACTGGACCACAGTGGCCATCCCCACTGTCAGAAAACTCATCTCATTTTCCAACTTTTCTCAAATGCCTCTATTCTTTCTTGTTCTGGGGATTAGCAGGGTCTAACCGCCCCCCAAGTGAGGCTATTCCTTAGCACCCCACCCCCAGCAAAAATAATTCCCATCTTACCTCTTCTAAAACTTACAGTCCCAGCTCCTTGGGCCTGAGGCACAGAAAGAACACTTTCCTTCCAGCCAGTAAGTGGCAAAGAAGAGCAAACCTGGGCTTTTACCTTGTAGAAGCCCAGTGGAAGGCCCCACAGCTCTCCCCAGCCCCCTGAGCTTTGCTCTTTCTTCCCAGTGGACCCAATGGCCCGGTGTCCTCAGTCAGGAAAATCCCCAGCAGCCAACCTCTCCTCTCTCTGGCTTCCTGCTCTTCTTGTGTAACTCTCTCCATTACACATGGGTACACACACCCAGTCGTTGCAGGCCTTCTCTGGAGCTGTCCCCAACAGAACTCACATTGGCTCCAGTGTCAGGGGCAGGACATGCAATGCCGGGTCTCTCTCTGTCTGGAGAGTGAGGCCAGAAAGGAGCAGAGGTAGAGATTTTCTGCCAGCAGCATGGAGAGGGGTCACAGCCCAGAACAGAAGCCAATGCCTGCCCATCACCTGCTGCTCGGCTCACGCACACACTGGAGTCCTGGGGTGCTTCATTCTCACAGCCCGTATCTGCTGTGGGGCTTACAGGACAGAATGGGACAGCCCCCCAGAAGGCATTGAGGCATTTTCATGGAATTCATGAAGATGACCCAAACCTTTTTCCAGTGAGAATATATGTCATGGTCTTCAGGCCTCAAAGGGCTACTTCCTACAGGAAGGGCACATCACCTGGCTGGTGGGTAGGAAGGGCTGGAATAGGTGAGTGCCACGGTGGGAAGAGTAGCAACCGTTCTGACCCCATCATACCCAGTTACATAAAGCTCCAGCTGACTTGGTATAAACTATGACTAAGAAAACTTTCCAAAGACAGTTGGTGGTCCTCCACCCCCCTGCAACTGGTGAGAACTACCCCCACAGAGAGCAGAGCAGAGATTAGGGCTCCTAGCTCCATGGCCCTGACTCATCACACACACAAACACTCCCCAACACTTTTTCCCAAAATGGTTCCCCTCCTACCCGTCCACCCTCCTACCCGGGCTGGGTGACAAAAATGAACACCCCAGAGATCTTGCCAAGTTCTGGGCCAGGCTGAGCCCAGGGAACATAACATTCTTCACAGAATGAGGAAGCCAACTCTCCCACAGAAACAAAGTCCATTCAAAGGAAAATCACCACTGGCTGACCCTACTATGGTCACTGCATTGTTTCTCAAATAGCTTGGACTACCTGCCCTCAAAAAAGAGCTCAAAGCGCTGAAATCATAAAATATTAGAGCTTAAAGGAAACCTAAAGGTCATGCTTAACCCCTTCTCTCCTTCCCTATTTCCATGCATCTACTCACACATTCACCTATCTAACCATTCATCAAATAGTTATTGAGTTTCTATTATTCGCACGTACAGTGCAGGCAATGGGGACCTGATAGAGGCAGTCTCTCCTCAAGGAGCTTATCATCTAGAGGGTGAGAGAGGCAGGTGAAAGGGAAGTTGCTACAGTGTGACAGGTACCACGACAGGAAAGACACCTGTTCCCAGGTGGGCAGGGCATCCAATGGAGTGGCGGGTGGGGTGTTCATGGATGCTTACTGGAAGGAATCATACCTAGGTCAAGATACAAAAAAGAAGGAAATCCCATTTCATTCAGTAAGGGGTCTATTCAACACATAATATGGTCAAAGCACAGTGTTAAGCATGCTACATGAAGATGAATGAATTGTAGTATCCACCAATGGATGGGGGATACAAATTAAGCTACAAATTACCAGTATATACTATGAAGCACCCAAGAGAAGGACCCATGGAGCCCTAGGGAGAATTTAAGAAAGAGTGACAGGAAATATCCTGTTGGGAAATCAGAAAAGCTCTGTGGAAGAAGTAGAAATTGGACTTATCTTGGGAATGGATAGAATTTAGAAGCACATATAGGGTGGGGAAGGCATTCCAAGCAAAACTAATGGTATCAGCAAAGCTTAAGACCCAGTGATGTCTGTTTGGGTGAATGAGAATATACCAGTTTGACCAAAGCTTGTAAGATGAAGCAATGGTAGATGCAGCTTAAACATAGGTCAAGATCTTATAATAAGGGACAATTCTTAAATTTAAAGCAAAGCCCAGAGAGGCTAGGCAATTTAATCAAGGTCACAGTTCGTAGAAAGCAGGTCTTCTGGATTCAACTTCAAGGCTCCGTCTACAGGTCCTAAGCATGCAGGTTTCTCCCCTTGCCATGATCCAGCCCCCTCTCTGATAGAGGAGCACTGTGGCTGACTCCCCTATCCCTTGTTGGCAGGGCTCTCACTGCAAAGCAATCAGACCCCAGGCTAGAAATCCAGGCTGCTCTACTCCCTCCCCTGCATTTTTTAGATGAATATGTAGATTTTCTTAAAGAAGGTAGAAGAATCACCCTAACAGACTGGGTTAGGTTCTCACTTTGGCCCTTGCCCAGCCCTGTTTGAAATATCTGGAATTCCTATAGCTAGTGTCCTTTCCTCTTGCTCCCCCCACCGCCTCTACACTGACCTGTGGTCTTTAGGGTTAAGCCTTTATTTTTTTAGGTACAGGCCTAGTTCTATGCTGGAGTCCACATGGGTGTTTATGACTGCAAGCTCTCAAAATCCTGGGACACTGTACCTAGAATTCCCTTTGAACAGTCAAGCACAGAACACCAAACAACTAAGCGTCTGAAGCTGGAAATTGGCATTAAAGGGCAGGCTTGTTGGGGGTAAGAGATTGTAATAGTAAGAACCAGCCACAGGGTGGTGCCATGAGGCTGACGGAAAGGTTTGCCCAGGCTGGAAGCAGATCTACATTCCTGCCTCAGCCGGTGGGGGTTCAGAGAGGATAGCTCTCTCCTAGGAGAACCGCAAATCAGGGCTGGCAGCGGGATCCAGGAATGCGGGGGAAGACTCACAGACGCAGTGTTTGCTCTTTGCTCTCCTCTTCTCCTTTTACAAGCCATCTGTGACCAAGAGCCGGACAGGGGGCACCTGAGAGCCATCGGATTTGGATTGTGCTCTAAGGGAGGGGGAACAGTGGTGGGGGCTCTGCCTCGCATCAGGAGGAAATCTGTGTGGGGGTGGGGGTGCATGTCCATGTCCTTGAGGTTTGAGAGATTGGTTGGCAGGGTCAAACATGCTTTCTTCTTAGTCTAACAAACTTCTTGGAAATAAAGCCAATTCCAGGAGGGAAGCTATACCCTGGACATTTGCTGCTGCCCCAGAATTGGACGTTTTAAGGGGCTATCCTAAGAGAGGGTCTGGATGCTTCTAAGAAGTACAGGAGAGTTTCCTTTCTGTTATCCATCCAAAACTTACCCTACACATAAACCATACAAATCAAATATTTCTCTTAGCTCAGTTCATATCTGTCGTTAAATATGCATTTCTACAAATGTCCTTTTCCAGACATCCCTCAATAGCCTTCTACAAAGTACTGCTGAGAAAAACATCTCTGCACGCACAGTTGCACACATATCCATCTTCCATGCATCCCACACATACCACCCTGTCTCCAGGTCTGCTCACACGAGGATCCCGCACGGAAATTTACATACATATTTCTCCACACAGAAAGGCAAAAGCGCGCGAGTGCGCATACACACACACACACACACACACACACACACACACACCAAGGTGGTAGACACAGTGTAATGCAGAGACCAGAATAACAATACCCTTGCAGGGTGAGGGCCAACACCATTTGACCTTGCAGTGGGAAGTTTGTTTCCAACCTACACATACTGGTTCTGAGCTCATCTCTGGAGAAACAGAGGAGAGCTTATCAGAATCTGACTGCAACATCTCCCCAGCTATGAGGACGAAAATTACGAAAGGAGAGGGAACTTTTGATTTGGTGTTTTTTTGCGAGGTCAGCAAAGTGTGAGGTAGCTGCACCTAGTCTCAGTAGGGGCCAGGAAAGTTAGCCTCAGACCTTTGAACTCGCCCTTCACAGGTCAACCAAGGGTCAGGGTGTTTGTTGATGTAAGAAAGAGAAATTAAGTGTGTGGATCTGTGTGTCTGAGGGTGTGTGTGTAAAAAAAGAGAGAGCAAGGTGGGGAGGAAGAAAGGAGAAAACCAGAGAGGTGGAAGTAAGGAACTGAGAAATGGTACAGATTGTTAAAAAAGAAAGAAAAAACCCCAAAATGGAGTCATATGCCCCCCACAGCAGCAATCCAAGACTTAGTTTCCACCTCTCCCAAGAATGTGACCTTAACAGTCCATCTGAAATTTCCTGATCAGCATTAGTGAAGTTATCTGCATGATAAAAACCCTTCTTCACAAAAAACGATGTCCTGGCCTGAAACAATCCATTCTTTCCTTTTACTGGTAACTTCTTTGCCCTACCCTCCTTTCCATAAAAACCTTCCATTTTGTACAACTCCTCAGACTATCTCTCCATTGGCTAGGTGGGATGCTGCTCAATTCATAAATTGCTTAATAAAGCCAATGAGATCTTCAAACTTAGTTGATTCTTTTTTAAAGATTTTACTTATTTATTTGACAGAGAGAGACGGCAAGAGAGGGAACACAGCAGGGGGAGTGGGAGAGGGAGAAGCAGGCTTCCCACGGAGCAGGGAGCCCGATGCGGGACTCGATCCGAGGACCCTGGGATCATGACCTGAACCAAAGGCAGATGCTTAACGACTGAGCCACCCAGGCACCCCAAACTTAGATGATTTTTTAAACAAATTTGGTAGTGGTGGTGGGCTCTGAAGCAAACTTCTGATGGTATTCAGAAACAACCAGATAAACAGGCAGGGAGCCCAGAAACCCTTTTGAGTTCACGGTCTTTCTCACCTTTCTAAGGGCCATGGGTAAGTTTCAGTAGTTCTAAGCTCTGTTTTCTTTGCACTGAACTCCCAATCTAATTGGCTTTCCTTTAAAGGGAAGGTCAATTTGAGCAGGCTGACAATTCTGCCTGGAACCATGTCCCTAGCCTTTCAAACTGCAGTTCTCCAGGAGGAAAACCCCAAACCTTAGCTCTGTCCCTGGATTCCACAATGGGAATTCTGATGCTTTAGCCTGCAACTCCTATGTGTTTGGCATCCTCCCCAGATTCCACATTAGGAATCTCTGGCAACAGCTGCAGTTCTGCATTTGTTTAGCATCAGCCCGCAGTCCCCATTCTTTGGGGCCTGCAGGGTCAGTCTGCTCCCCATTCCTCAGATTATTAGTGTGACTCCAGGACAATGAAAGGCCTAGCTAAAAGAGATGGGATTTTTTATTTCCAGAGAGTTGAGCATGCCACTTTCTGGCACACGTACTTACTTTATGCATAAGAACTGTATTTCCATAAGTTGAAGGTGATCTAGCAAGATGGCAAAATTTTACTAAAAAGAACCTGGAATTCCAATGGCCATTATGGGGAACATTCCAAATAGATACAATCATTTAAAAAGTGCACTTAAAAGCAAGCGTTTTCAAATCAAACAAGCAGAATGGGATGCCTATTTTAATTAGTATGCAGAAGCCGTCAAAAACTTTCAAAATTCCAGCATAGCTCATTGAATGATTCATTGCAAACGGCTATGAAAAATTAAAGAGATAAAGGGTACCTAAAACAAAGGCTACAACCCAATTCCTTGAGGAACTGGAAATAGTTGCTTTTGTTTTATAAATCTATGCCAGGCCAAAGATGTGTCTCTAGTGGTTCAAAGTTCACCTGGCCTGCCCGTTCGGCCAATCCCCTAAACCTCACCTATTCCTCTCAAAATGCTTGGAAAGATCAAGACATTGGAGACAGGATTGTTCTGCATTTAATCTGTGCTTTTGTGATATAAAGTTTTATCCCCATCTTCTCTAGGACCAAAGAGCCATTCTTTGAACTGCAAACTTTAGGGAGAAGTTTCTTATCAGAAAGATAAAGAGAAAGAGGGAAGTATTTGGAAATTGGGCCTAAAATGTCCTCTCCACAAATATTAGTAAAAACAAAAGTTAGAAAGATCTTTGTATTGGGGGCACCTGGGTGGCTCAGATGGTTAAGCATCTGCCTTCGGCTCAGGTCATGATCCCAGGGTCCTGGGATCGAGCCCCATGTTGGGCTCCCTGCTCAGGAGTCTGCTTCGCCCTCTCCCTCTACTGCTCCCCCTGCTTGTGCTCTTTTGCTTTCTCTGTCAAATCAATAAATAAAATCTTTAAAAAAAAACTTTGTATCTGTGTGTGTGTGTGTACATGTGCACATAGTAAATATGAGATATTTTTTTATCTCCAGATGGTATTGCTAAAATTAATTTGTAAAAGAACTCTATTTAGTTGGTTTGAA